GTTTGATGGTTTCTACACTTTGTTGAATCACCTTTCTTGGGAATGGGAAAAAATATGGACCTCTTTCAATCCGTTGGACAGACAGCTGTCCTCCAAATTTCCAGGGCTGCATCTGTTAATTGAAACAAGTCAATTGGTATCCCATCGATTTCTGGGGCCTTATTTTATGCCAGGGCCTTCAATGCAGCTTCTGCTTCCTCCTTCATTACCATTACCTCTTCATAGGGTAGGTATTTCCTGTTCACAGTCAGGGTGCCAGTGGGGGGTGTGTGTGCTCATATATGAGTTATAGAGTAAACTCCTTGTTTCTTTCAGGGTCATTGATAATAGGGCTGTTGAGTCATAGTCAACTCGATGGCACAATAATAGCAATAATGATTATAATGTCTGAGAGCTCTGCTGTCTAGTGATAGGGAACTGCACTGCCAGTCCAAAGGCACAGGGTTCTAAACCACCAGCTGCTCTTCAGGAGACAGATGGGAAATCTCCTCTCATGCAATGAAATAGCCTCTGAAAACCCACTTGAGGGGTAGTTAAGGGTGGGTTCAATTTGACAGTGCATAACAACAACAAAAAATAACCGCATGGTGTCCCTTTTCAAAGAGTGGCCCCTTCTACCAACATCTCCAAAGTATAGGAGATGAAGTTTGGCGAATCTTGCCTCCGAGAAGGGCTCTGACTGGAGTCTCTCCAAAACATATCTGTTTGTCCTTTCGACAGTCCACAGGTGGAAAGGTGGAGGGTCAGAGAAGGAGGAATCCCCTCAGTCAGATGGACTGACACAGCAATGGGCTTACGTATGCCAGAAATGATGAGGATGGCACAGGGCAGGACAGGGTTCAGGTCTGTTCATATTGTTCATAGTGTCACTATGTTGTTGTTGTTATGTGCCACTGAGTCACCTAGATCTGATGCCTGCCCTGTCCTGAGCCAGTCTCACTGACTCTGACACCTACCCCCTTTTCCCAAGTTACTGTATCAGTCCATCTCATGCAGGGTCTTCCTCTGCTGAGCTGTCACTCCATCCTTCCAAGCATGATGTCCTTCTCCAAGGATGGGTCCCTCCTGACCACATGTCCAAAGTATGTAAGAGAGAGCTTCAAAATCCTAGCCTCCAAGGAGAAATTTGGTTTCACCCTCTCCAAGACAGACCAATTTGTTTTCCTAATGGTCCATGGTATATTCAACACTCTTCGCCAGCACCACAGCTCAAAGGTATTCATTCTTCTTCTGTCATCCTCAGTCATTGTCCAGATCTCTGAGGCATAGCAAGTAATTGTGAGGACCATGGACTGGACCAGGCGCACCTTAGTCTCTAGACTGACATTGCTGCTTCTCACTACTTTGGAGAGGTCCCTGACAGCAGATTTACCTAATGCAAGTAGTCTTTTGATTTCCTGACTTCTGGTGCCAAGAGTGTTTATTGTGGAGCTGAGCAAGTTGCAACTGTTAACAACCTCAATCTCTACTCCATCCATCATGGTGCTTCCAGTTGGCCCAGTGGTGAGACTCTTTGTTTTCTTGATGTTGAGCTTCAATCCATATTGAAGACTACAGTCCTTGACCTTCTGCAGCAAGTGCTTCAGGTCCTCCTCAGTTTCAGCAAGCAGGGTTGTGTCATCTGCATAATGCAGGTTGTTGATGAGTCTTCCTCCAATCCTGATGCCACCTTCCTCCTCATAACGCCTCAAGGACCTAATAACAACAACAACAATAACAATAGCAAAACCTTTCTATATTAATTTTTTCACCTACATCTTTGCCTCTTCTTCTAATAACAAGTTTGTGGCATCATTGTCCAGGGTGAAAAAAATCAAACCAGTGGCCACTGAGTCGGTTCTGAACCATCATGACCCCACAGAGTAGAGAAGAGTCGCCCTAGATGCTTCCAAGGTAAAAATTTTACAGCTGCCCGCTTCTCCATAGTTCTCCTGTGGAAAAGATGGTGGGTTTGAACCCACAACAGCTCTTTTTGTTAGCAACCGAGCTCTTTAACCACTGCCCCACCAGGGCTCCTTTCCAGGCAAAGAGAAAGTTCTTTTTTCCAGTTTTCCCTCTAAGTTGCTCTTGCTCCCCTACAAATGGTTCTGTGTGACAAGTCATTATTAAGTATAAATGTTTAAGGCTGTTGTTAAATTTGAGGAAACTTCTGCTAGATTTCTCTCCAAGCTGGAGGATGACAGTGCAATGCAGAGCCAGTGAGATGACTGAAGTAAGTGAGCTGTGACAGGAGGCCACTGGTTACAGCATCACGCCCTGGAGACAGAGGCTGTTAGGGTACCGTGCTGCCTTGTTGACGTCATTGCTTCCTGTTAAATCCGCAAGATGCTTCATCCTTTTCCAAAAATTCGCGTGACTCACTCCTCTGCGTTAATTGCCATTGGCGTGTCTGAGAGCCAGGGTTTTCTATGCCAGGATGTCTGGCCTTAAATTAACTCTGTGAGGAAGTAACGGGGGAAAAACACCGGGAGACTCTGGTACACCCCAAGAAAACATGTCCACAACTCAACTTCCCCTTGGCCAGAGCCCAGGAGTGACCACTGGCCCTTGCCGCCAGCCCTGCTGGAGGGGTGTGTGACAGAAGGAAGAGTGAGGTGTTGTGGGAACCCTGGTGGTGACCTTCCCACTGCCCACACTGTCGACAGTCCGGTGACTACGTAAGGCCGCGGCTACGGCTTCCTTTCTCCATACCTGTTCTGTCTGTATGCTGAGCAAGTCATCTGATAAACCCGACTCTGGGAAGAAGACCAAACACGTCTGTCTTGGAGAAACTGCAGCCAGGGCGCTCCTTAGAGGCAAGGATAGCGAAACTTCATTTCACAGGCTGGGAATATTGTCAGGAGGGGGCCATCCTGGGAAAAAGCTTGGAAAGGTGGAGGGTAATCAAAGAAGAGGAAGACCCTTAACGAGCTGGATCGAGGCAGTGACGGTAACAGTGGCTCAAGTGTATCAGGAATGACGAGGACGGCAGGGTTAAAGGAAAGGTTCAGATCCACTGTTCATCCTTTTTTCTTTTCATGAGTCATAGCTGGCCTGTTGGCACTTACCAAGAACAACAATGAAGAAGAATGTGGCATTAGGATTAGAGGAAGACTCATCAACAACCTGTGGTTTGCAGATGGTACAACCTTGCTTACAGAAGATGAAGGCTTGAGGCAGTTACTGCAGATCAAAGACTACAGCCTTCAGTGTGGATTACATGTCAACATCAGGAAAAAAATCCTCATCCCTGGACCAAAAGGTAATATCACAATAGGTGGAGAAAAGATTGAAGTTGTCAGAATTCCACCTTACTTGGATCCGCAATCATCAAAACACATGGAAGCAGCAGTCAAGAAATTATTAATTGCATTGGGCAAATATGCTGTCAAAGACCTCTCCAAAGTGCTAAAGAGCAAGGATGTCATTCTAAAGACTAAGGTGCCCTAACCCAAGCTTGGCACTTCCCATTGCCTTCGTCAACTCAATGGCACTTAACAACAACACATACACCTGAAAGTTGGATAATGAATAAAGAAGATTAAAGAAAAATCAATACCTCTGAATTGTAATATTGGTAAAGTTGAGTGCCATCCAGTCCAAACTGACCCGTAGCTGACTTACCAGCCATTTTCAGAGGCAGTAAGTTGCATGGGAGGAAACTGCCCATCCTTCTCCTGCGGAGCGGCTGGGGGATTCGAACCGTGTGCCTTTGGGATTGCAGTGCAGCTTCTTGGCACTAATATTAAATATACAATGGAGTGTCGTAAACAAAAGAACAAGCAAATCTGTCTTGAAGGAAGTGTAGCCAGAGCGCTCTTTAAAAGCAAGGATGGTGAGAGTTCACGTCACTTACACTGGTCATGTCTCAGGAGTGGCCATTGTGCTGGCAAAGGGTGACTCATAGAGAAGACCCTTCACGCAGTGAACTGGCACAGTGACGTCTGTCACGAGGGGTTTATTAAACTCAGCCGAGGCGCTGAGCCCAGCTCAGGACCGGTCAGGGTTTCGCCCTTTGTACTTGGGGCGGTCACTGTGAGCTGAGGCACCTGATGGCAAGACCAGGGCTTCGGAAGGGTCCCTTTTAGGGTCTTGTGAGCCAAGCTGGGCACCACACGGACCTGCCATGCCCCGAGGTCCTTCCTCCCTCTTTGGCCACGTGTTTTCACTGCTCTGCTTTACGGCTGTGCACTGGGAGAGGGGACACCCCAACGCGGGGTCCAGCTGTCCACACTCCAGTGGAAGGCTCAGGGGAGAACTGATTTCCTTGCCTTTTCCAGCTCCTTGAATGTGTTGAGGGCTAGTGGCTGAATGGTTAAAGCGCCCACAAGGTCACAGTCACAAGGTGATGCTCACAAGCTAACATCCAAGGTTTAAATCTACCAACTGCTCTGCAGGGCGCTCTGGTGGCCTAGTGGTAAGAAGCTGCGCTGTCAGGCCAGCGGCACACAGTTCGAATCCATCAACGGCACTGTGGAAGACGGGTGATCTCCTTCCAGGCTTACTTTCTCTTTACTGCCTCTGAAAATTCAACTAGATGGCACATGAGAGCGAAGGCCTCTGCAGGAGAAACGCGAGGCTGTCTGCTTCCGCAGGATGTCAGCCCTGAAGACATACGCTCGGTGCTCGGTGCTAGGAGGTGCCGTGGACTCTTGGGCAGTGGGTTTGGGGTTTCGTTCTGGTTTGGGTGTTTCAGAGCTGCGTCACTTGCGTTCCTGAGCTCAGGACTCCCTCTTCTGTCTTCAAAGCCAATAGCGGAGATCTTCAGATTTCTTGGCCTCTCTCTCTGCCTAATCTCCAGTCTCCACTTACAGACACTGGCTGTGCTTAGGAGCCCAGGGGATAAGCCAGGATAATCTCCTTTGGGCAAAAGCTTGAACATAATCACATTTACAAAATCCCCACTCAAGAGAAGGTGAATCTCCCAGGCTGTGGGCGTTAGGACACCGGAGATCTCAGGGGGCCCAGCTGGCAGTGCAGCCTCGGTCATTAACTAACTGACCAGTGATCTGGACCCACAGCTGTGCAGGGAAAGCCGTGCGCTCCCACTTCAGCACTGACTGTGGTCACTGTCACGCTGGAACCGACCCCAGTGGCCCCTGCAGAGGGTTTCAGAGGCTGCAGATCACGCTGGACGAGAGCAGCAGGTGGGTTTGAACCACAAGCCTTTGGGTTTGCAGAGCAATTCCTTCCTATTCAGCCATCAACAAGGCTGTCAGTCCAGAGGGATGTGGTTCAGACTTCCAGCAGCTGCTCCACGGGAGATGGACAGACAGTCTCCTCCCAGGCGATCTCCTGCCTCAGAAAACCCCCTGGAGGCTCAGCTCTGGGTCGGTTTGGATTTGATGGGGCACAACAAGAAGTCTTCATGGGAGAAGACTGCTCACCTTTCTTCTAGCGGATTTGAGCCACTGACCTTGTGGCTAGAGGCCTTCGGTGTTAACCAGATGCCTGGCGGGGAAGCTTGGGCTGTTGTTCCCTGGGCAGGGGCAGCCTGGGGCTGTGAGAGCGCAGAGGGCAGGCTGGTCTCACCCCTCAGGGAGGCTGGGCAGCAGGCAGCGGGAGGAGGCCCCTCTCATCTGCTGTGTCTTCTTCAGATTTTAAAAACTGTGCTTCCAGTGAATGTCCACAGAGCTCACTGGTCTCCACAGACATTGTAACTACAATTCGTAGGACCATTAGCCTGCACCCTCTCACCCTGCCTGCACCTCGTTTTCTGGCCTCTGCTTCCAGGGAAACACCCCTCAGCGTTTCCTAACTGCAGCTCAGTCACGGTGACGTCTCTCAGACTTTTTCCTCTGGAACGTCTGTATTCAAACCTCATTTTTATAAAGTCACCATGAGTCAGCACGGGCGGCACCTAAAGGCAATTTTCTATTTTTAGTGGAAGATTTTTTTTTTAAATGTGTCTTGTTTTGTGCGTTGGATGGAAGCCTGTACTGTAAGTGACCGTCAGTCCATTTGCTTCCCGTCCGCGTGCACTTGGCTTTGTGACGTCAGCTGGGCTTCCACCGTCAGACATGCTGTCCCCACTTCCCCCTCGTGTCCCTTCTTTCTGAACTCGGGGGGTGCCCCCTACACTGCCCTTTGGGTCCTGGACCACTGATGGTTCCCAGGAGCACGTCCTCACAGCTGTCAGTTCTTCATCTCACGGTACACCTGTCTGCCTGTCCGTCAGTCTGTTCTTAACTGAAAGGAGATCATGGGGGGGGGTGTGGTTTTAGATGGGTGTCTGAGGGACACACTCTTGGGGTTTCTGCTGAATTATGACAATTTTAAAACATATTTTTGCTACTTTTGGAGCTGGAGGTTACCAGTTACTTACCTCCAGGACTGATGTTGCCTCTGGCCAGGGCCACTCAAGCATCAAGCACACCTAAGTTTCTCCTCCCCTCCTCCTCCTCCTCCTCCTCCTCCTTCCCTCCCTTCCCCCTCCACCTCTCTTGTTCCTCCTTCTCACCTCCCCTCCTCCTTTTCCTCCCTCCCCTGCTCCTTGCCTCTCCTCCCCCTCCTTCCCCTCCTCCCCTCCCCTTCTCATCTCTCCCTTCCCTCCCCTCTTGATCCTCCTCTCCTCCTCCTCTTCCTTCCCTCCCCCTCTTCTCTTCCCTTCCCTCTCCCCCTCCACCCCTCCCCTCCTCTCTCTTCCTCTTCCCTCTTCCTCCTCCCCTCCTCTCCTCTCACTCCCTCCCCTCCTCCCTCTTCTCCCCTTCCCTTCCTTCCTCCCTTTGCCCCTTTCCTCCTCCCCCTCCCCTCCTTTCCCGCCCCTCCCCTCCTCTTTCTCTTTCTCCTTGCCCTCTACCTGCTCCTTCTCTCTCTCTCTCTCATTTTCTCTCATTCTGTCTCTTCCTCTCCTTTTTCTCTCTTCCCTATTTCCTCTCTTTATCTCTTCTCTCTGCCTCCCTCCCTTTCTTTCTCTCTTTCTTATTTTCCTCAAAGTAAAATGTCCCTTCTGGCAGGTGGCTAGATTAGGGGGACAAGCTATCCCCAACCACCTCCATCTCCTTGACGTGACTGAAGTCTGGACTCCAACATCTGAAAACAAACCCCAACCCATTGCCATCAGGCCAGCCTAACTCACGGAGACCCTTCATGGGTTCCCAGGCCACAGCCTCTGTGGGAAAGGGCTGCCCATCCTTCTCCTTCAGAGCGGAGTCTGGATTAGAACCACTAACCTCTGGTTAACAGCCCATGGCCAGTTGGCAGTCCATTATAGTAAAGTGTCTGTTTCTTGTTCCCCTTTGCTATGATGGTGTAGTTTGATGGGGTCTCATTGAAGAGCAAGTGTTCAGCAGTGTTTGAGAGTGAGAAAACATCACAAAATGAGTGGCTTTTGAAGAAAATGAATTCATTGTCACATAGTTCTGGAGGGTAGAGGTCCCAGTTAGGGTATTATTATGTTGCTATGTATAGCTGGTCAGAACCGACCCAGCTGACCCTCCAATAGCCTTTCAGAGCATTAATCACATAGGAGGAGACCTATCTTTCCTCACAGAGCTGCGGGGGGATTCGAAGTGCACACCTTTGACCTGTCAGCACAGCTCCCTACCACAAGGCCACCAGAGCTCCCAGCTCAGGCACTTGGCACGCTGACTTCTGCGAGTCCCCCCGAGACTCCTGGGGATTCTGGGGATCACTGATGATTCTCAGCTTTCCAGGGCTCCTGTGGGTGGGGGCCCCGGCAGCCTAGAGGCTAAGGAGGTGCGTGGCCCACCCAGAGGCAGGTGGTCTGGATCCCCTGAGGGAGAAAGATGAGCAATCTCTTCTGGTGGGATTTACAGCCTTGAAATCTCACCGGAGGGTCAGCGATGCGTCAGTCCCAACTGAATGCTACAGGACAACAGCACACCCTGTAGCTCTGTCTTCATACGTTGCCTTCACCTTATAAGCCATTGGATCCACTCTGCTTCTTTATATGACACCACTCAGGTGGGCTTAGGACCCAGCGAGCTCCAGTGGGTGCCCAAGCTGATAACATTTCACACACTCAACGACACCTCGCTCCCATCAGGTTGGCACCGACAGCTGACCCTCTGGTGGGTTTTCCGAGGCTGTAAATCGCACAGGAGGAGACTGCCCACCTTTCTCCCGGGAGCATCTGGTGGATTTACACCTCCAGAGAGCTGTACCTTTGGGGTTAGCACGGTTCTCTGTTGACCATGTCATCAGAGCCCATTTTTCTTTTTTTTTTCCTTCTTTTTTTCTGCTGGAACTTAATTCACTTTATTTGGTATACAAAATGCACTATGTGGTGGCCACAGCTGGAGCCTGAGTCCTCTGCACGGAGACTCTGGTGTGAGTCTTTACAAGGTTGCCCGTGAATTCCTGGTAGGGAGACTTGGTGAACACAGTCTCTTTCCAGAGATCTGGGGTCAAGTAGCTGTAGGTCTTGGAGATGGCATCAAAGGTGGCCTTGGCGAAGTTGCCCGGGGCTCAAAGACTAGTTCAAAACAAAGGCACCCTGGTGATTTGGTGGTTGAGGCTCTGCTGCCAAGCGAATCCTTGCTGTCTCTGTAGCTCTGTGTCACTTCAGAGTCACATCCACAAAGAGCATGGCCCAGAGCCAAGGATTCCCGGGAGAAAGGAGGGGCGTGGAGCCTTCCGGGCCCTCCCTGGGAGAAAGGACCTGCCTCTCCGTTCACATAACATTATTCTTGTTGTGAGGTGCCCGTCGAGTTGTAGATGACTCACAGCGACCCTATGAACGAAAGATCAGAGAGCCGTTCATAGCCTGCCCTGAGGCAAGTCCTTTTGGAAGTGGATGCCACTCCTGCTTCCAAGCTTGTTTTAATCGGGGAGCTCCAGCAAACACTGTCCACCATGGGTAACCATTATCACATCTGACACATCAGTGTTACAGTGTTTAACATCACAGCAACCACGAGTTACCTCTGCACAGCAAAGCACAGACCAGTGCTATACCACCTAGAAGAATGTTTGACAAAAAAACCAATTTAAACCAGGCCTGAGGGCCGTGATTTTGACCACCCACCACCCCACACATAACATTACAGGCTACAAAACCCTGCGGGCAATTTGGCTCTGTCCTGTAGGGTCTTGGTGCGCACGAGGCCCAGTCAACTCAGTGGCTCACAGAGTTCCAAACAAGACCATGCTTTCAGGTCCTGGGGCGAGGACTTCCACAGGTCTTTTTGAGGAGACAATCCAATCCGCACAGGGGCTCCTCCTCTCAGCAGGACTCTGAACTCCCGTTCCGTCTCGTGACCCTGACTGGTGACCAAGACTCTTGCCAGCCCTGAGTGGCTTCTTTCATAACCAGACACCCCCCACCCCGGTGGGTTCAGCGTCCAGTTCCATGTCCTGGGCTCCTCACCCTCGCCGTCCTTGTCCCACAATCCTGGGCTAGCAAACCCTTGCTGCCTTTGGTATTTTTCAGCATGTCCAATGGAGTGAAAACCACAAAATGCACAGTCCAGTTCCAACAGGCGTTCTCAGGAGACGGACAGGCTCACACTCTGGGGGCTTCCACTGCCCGGAGCAGAGCATCACCGCTATTCAGGCCGCCCAAAAGTTCCCGAGTGCCTTTCCCATTCGCAAATGCTTTTAGAAAGTGCTCGGAAAATCGTGTATACACCAACAACAAACAAATGGATTGAGAAATTGTGGTTCATTCACACAAGGGAATACTCAGAAGCAACAATCTAGAAAAACAGCCTATAATATGGGAGAGGCTGGAGGGCATTGTGCTGGGTGAATTAACACAGCCTCATAAATATTCAGTCCCCAGATAGAAGACCATTCTTGTAAAAGCAGAAGAATAATCACTAAGATGTAGAGAAAAGTGCAAAGGTGGAATGGGAGAAGTGGACGGAGTGAGTGAGTGAAGGAATTAGGAAAGATTCAGTGGGGACCTGAAAAGACGAGGTGATAGTGGGCACAGATCAATGGCAATTGGTTTTATAAGACACAGTGTATGGAACATAATGTCGATGAAAGAATATGTGAAATACAGTGTATACAAGTAAAATACAATGTATAAGAATCTTTTATGAAAACCAATGTGAAAAAGCAAAATATTGTATACAGAATAGGAAGTTGCTCAGACAGCAATTCAATCATTATCTTAACCTACTGTAACTCATGTTAAAATAATGGGTATGAATGATGGAATGCAATTGTAATTGTTACT